AAAATCTATCAGAGTATGCAGCCCATCCAAGTGGCTAATTAATTAACATTTATCAGTACAATAATGGTTATATATATTTATAGGATATTCCTTTAATAATAATAATGATAATGATTTCTTACCGCAATTCCCATAATATACACGTAAACTGAAACTAATTTTTATTTGTGATTAGTTAAATTAATTAATTCGCAAGTATATATATTAAAAATTTCATGTAATTCAGATTTTCCTTTACCTAATGTGTTAACCTCTATATCAGACGCATTAAATTCTGTACGTAATTTTAATAATGTAGGGTACAATATACTTTTTTCGTAAAAAAATTTTAATAAACAAAGTTTGATTTAATAAAAAAAAAATAAATAATAATCCAATCAACCACATGTATAAATAAACGAATACTGACGAACTAGATATTGGAGAAGTCATTGCAGCAAAAGAAACCACTAAAAGTATAATACGTTTTCTCCATATTGACCAATTTTTAGGATCATTATTGATATCTTGATCATTTAATGTACTTGATAATGATTTGTTATCATCATTTATGTTAACAATATCGTCTTTACTACATTTGAGAGGTAATTTTTCATCGTGGATTTTTTTAGAACAAAACGATGAAAGTTTACACATTTTATTATTCTGCAAGTATATTTATTATATATATATAATATACTTCTCGTAATATTATATATATATAATATTGTGAGAGTGACGAAAGTTTAGGATGTAAGAAAAGGATTCAAAGAATGAAAGGATTTATGAGATTGATGAAAGTTTAGGTAAAAATTTAAAGAACAAAAGGATTTATGAGAGTAATGAAAGTTTAGGTGAAAATTCAAAGAATGAAAGGATTTACGATAGCAATGAAAGTTTATTAAAAGAATTAAAAAAATGCATGCATTTATTGTTTCTTTTATTTGATAAAAAAAATGTTATTGATGGTTTTAATTTGATCACAAAAATCAAATAATTGGTCAACAAATAAGTAACAGTTAAATAGCCCTCAATGATTGTTTGTTTGTTTATTACTTTTTGGTGGCAAGGACCGTATTAATGGTAAAAATAAATCTTCAATTATCTGATTGTTATGATTATTTATGAAGGTAGATACATTCTTACGTTCGATATTTCTTCATCTTTGGAAAAATCGTAAAATATTAATATATTATTAAAATAAAAATCGAAATCAATTGGTACAAATTACTTAATATTAGTGTTACACAAATTTCTCACATTAAATAAAGGATTGGTAAAGAAATTTTACATGTGGGAAAGGATTTACTAACATATGCAGAATGTCATCATTATGTATTTAAAAATATGCAACATATAAATTTTAAATAATTCTTAATTCTTAAGAATTTTCTTTGATTAGAATTGGGAAGTTTATAAATCTTTACGATTTTTTCTTTTATTTTTTTTTTAGAATCGGAAAGTAAAATAACCTTGCGACTGGAAATATTAATTGAAGGACGTTAATATTAATATTTGTATTTATTTATTTTCACTTTATTGATATAATTGTCAATTTTCATTGAAATATTTAACAATAATAAAAATAGTAAACAAAAGCTTTCATTATTATTGTTTACCCATTCGGAGGGATTTTAATAATGTGCATATATATAATAATAAACAAACAAATACAGAAATAAAACCTTAACATTAAATGTTGTGTTACTTTCCTTCTTAATATTGGTAAGCAACAGAACTTAATTCATTGAAAACAAAAACTTGCATCTAAAAATGTCATTTCAACAAATATATTTCCGCTAAATCAGCTTTGTCTAGAGATTCATAATAAACCAATTTTTCTGTCTAGTCTGATGCCAAAAGGTAAAGCCTCCTATATAGTGCCGAAATTCCAAAACGACGAAAATGTCAAAAATAACGAAATTGACGAAACTGTCAAAACTATGATTTCAGCTAGGGTTTTTATTTGAAATATTTGTTTTATTAGTTATGAATTTGAGTATTCGAATTATATTGAAAGTTTATTCGAAAAAAACGAATAATTCACGAATAAAGCGAATAAACGAGTAATTTGAATAAAACGAATAAAACGAATAAAACGAATAAAACGAATAAAACGAATAACCGAATAATAATAATTAATAATTCTAATCAATTTGTATTACAAACTAGTTAGTAAAAGATCATGTTTATATTGTATTTGAAAATCATCAATAAGACAGCAAGACAGATTACCCAAACAGAAAGTGTTGAGTATAAAACAATTACTGTTTAGCCAACCGGAATCGAATATGATTATTTATGGTATTAATTGTTCTGAACAGATAGAAAAAATTAGGAATTAATAGTTGCTAAGAAAACAATTATAAATAAAATAAATGAAAGTAATAATAATTGGGTCATAAGACTAGACTAATAATCTCCCGAAAAAAATGGAAATCAGGAGCGTAGAATAATGTAAAGAGTTATGCATGCAAGGTATTGAATGAACATTTTATTTTATTTATGTTTTTATGTTTTTATGTTGGGCTTCCTTTTTGGTTTTTTTATTTTCATTACTATTGTTTTAAAGAATAAGTGAAAGTTTCGTTGATTTGATTGGTTACTAGTTATTCATGGCTTATAAAATTTAATACCTTCATCAAAATAAAAAAAAGACTTTTTATTTTTTTATGTGTTTAGATATATAAATATCAAATTAATTGAATTTTGTTACATTTTGTTACGTTACTACAAACTCCTATAATATAATAAAAATAAATTCAAGTATATTATTATTTAATAAAATTAACTAAAAAAAAAAAATACTCACCCAATCTGCATCAACATCCAAAGCCCATTGGAATTTTTTGCAGACTTTTGTTAAAAATTTTGGCAATTGGTACGTCATACTTTTTACACCATGCAACAGAGATACATGGGTCTATATAATGAATCTTTGACATACCCAATGCAATTGTTTTGTTATCTTCTTTATCTTGTTTCAACAACTTGGTGATTTTGATATGTTCTGTCAAATTTTCTATTTGGATCCAGAGTTTTTCACTTGTTTGTCCTTTTCTCAGATTGACCTTTCCAGATTTTTGTTCATTCTTCAACACCTTCTCTTTTT